CTCTTCTGCAAAGCTATCTACAAAGTAGGAGTAACTAAAGGTCACCTCCCTTCAGCATTATCAGAGACCAGCCCCTTCTAGGGCTCTGTAGCCTAGCAACCAGTTTCTGCAGTGCAACTCCTGAAGGAAAAAAGTGGCGTTTGGGATGAGGAATGGATGAACAGCTTAAGGAACTGGACAGGGCTAGAAAGACCAATGGATCCAGTGCATCTCTGGGCAGTCTTTCCATGACTGGATACGTATCTTTTGCTCACTGGCTTATGCTAAGATAAGAGAAGTCACAGTACCTGCCTTTCTCTGCCCCTTCCAGATCTCAATGTCTAGCAAACTCTCTGACTTTGAAATTCAAACCATCTTTCTCTATCAAAATTCTGGTCCCAGCTTTCTGCCAGCCTCACCTAATCATTTGTCCTTCACTCTCAAGGAGCTCAACACATTCTTCTTCTCTACTCTGCTCTCATACTTTGGTATTTCAATAGATATGATATTGTCTGTTCCAACACCCTGGCCTCCCATCACACCAACCTTCTTAACTTTCATGACCTTTACCTTCTCTCCACCAAAGCAGTACACTAGGATGTTTATATCCTTGACCTCACCATCCTCCATGATACAAAACCCTGAAATTCCTCACTCAGACAATAACCTCTTATCCTTCTCTCTCTCCCTCTGCCTCAATACTCCTGAACTTCATCATGCCCTCTTTCTTACAGTCCACCCCCCCAATTCTACTCAGCCTGTACTCACTTTTTTTCCCCTTGAAATCTTGACCGTGTAGCTAATCTGCTCAAATATCTACTATTCTCTACCCTGGCATCTCTCACATCCTGCTAATGCCTTTCTAAATTCCCAGTTCTGGGTTGCCTTGATTGTCCAAATTCTCCATGCCTAGTTACGAGCTATTGGATGCTCTTGGAGAAAGTCATCCAACTGTGCTGACTGGATTCACTACATTTCCATCATCTAATATCACTTGGGCCTCTATTGTTGCACAACAGTTTTGGGTTTTTTGCTCTCTGTTGAATTTCCTGCAACATTTGTTTCTAATCTTCTTTTCTGGCCTCAAGAGAGAAGAAAATAATCTCATGATAATCTCTTGATTATTTCATCCAGTGGCCTTTTCTACATCTTCATCCTTCTTGACCTCTCTACAAGCTTATACCCCATTGTAAACCAAAGCCATAGTAGGCCAATCTAGTAATTCAGGTTCAAGGTTTAAAATGCAATAAGACACTGTATGTGGATCATGAAAGTAATTTTTACTAATGGGAAACTTTACTAATGAACAAAGCCTCTACAGTAAAAAGAGATATAGAAAGGTTACTTGCCAACTTCTGCAGTTACCATGGCAACTGGCCAAGTTAAATCCAGAAAGCATTCCCCTCAGGCAATTGTCATTCTAATGAAATCTTTGAACCCATTCTCCCCTCAAGAGAGGTCCTCATACTTCTTGCAGCAAAAGCCATATGGCTTGCCCTACTCTCCTTAAAGTACCAGCCCAGCCTATAGACTGCTTCACAGGATTGCCAAAGGACAAAGCAAAGAGAGAGAGAGACAGAGAGAGACAGAGAGAGAGACAGAGAGAAACAGAGAGAGAGAGAGACAGAGAGAGAGAGAGACAGAGAGAGCAGAATGGAAGGGAAAGAAGAGGAGAAGATATACATATAACCACTGTCTTCTACAATGCCCAAGTCCATCTGAACCCCTCCCTAGTGAAAGCTTTCAGCTCAAAACATGAACCCCTTCATCCTGAATTCTCTCTCTCCCTAGATTTTTCTGACATTGCTCTTTCCTGATTATCCTCCTAGTTGTCTGACATGTCTTTCTCTGTCTGCTTCAGTGAATTATATCCCACGTCCTGTACCCAGGACTTTGTCCTAGGTCCCCTTCTCTTCTCTCTTTACATATATTTTCTTTTTTACAGTGATCTCATCAGCTCCCATGGGTTCAACTATCATGTCTATGCCAACAACTCTCAAATCCCCATATCTAGCCCCCATCCCTCTCCTGAGTTCCAGTACCACATCACTAAATGCTTGCTGGACTATAACCACCTGGATAGCCCAAAGGCATCTCAAGATCCATATGTCAAAAACAGAACTCGTTATTTTTCCCTCTAAATCCATCCCTGTTGCTTACTTTCCTATTTATACCAAGGACACCATCACTAACTTTCCTGTCTCCCAGGCTCATAACCTTGGCATCAACCTCAACTCCTCATTCTGCCTCACCTTTCATATCTAATCATCCGGTGCTTGTCAATTTGACCTCCACAACACGACTAATGTCCATGCCCTTTTTAAAAATCATATGGCCACCCCCCCCCCAATTTGTGACCTCATCATCCCTCACCTGGGCTTTTGCAAAAGCCTCCTAAATGGTCTCTCTGCTACCTTTCCCTCCTCTCTTTCATCTGTCTTCAACACAGGCCAAATTAATATTCTGAAAGCACACACATGGACCATTACCTTTCCCTTCTAAAGAATCTCCAGTGGCTTCCTGTTGCCTGTAGGATGAAATTCAAACTTTTCAGTTTCACCTTTCAGGACCTTCAGTCTGGCTCCAGCTTCCCTTTCTGGACTGATTCTGTGTTATTCCCCTTCATATCCTCTAGGTTATAGTCAAACTAGCCTACCTATACATACCATTCCATTTCCCAACTCCGTGGCTTTGCACAGGCTATCTCCCATGACACGTACATTTTCCCTTTTAACTTCTGCTTCTGGGAGTCCATAATTCCCTTCAGGATTCAGCTCAGCCCCTCCTGCATAAGGCCTTTCCTGATTCACCCAGTTATTTGAACTTCCCTGGCCCCACATATACGAATGAGCCAAAAAAAAAATTAACATTCACATTTATTTTATATTTGCTTATCACTAAACATGTTGTGATGCCATACTCCCACCTCCCAGTAGGATATATGTTCTATAAGGGCAGGAAATAGTTCCTTTGAAAAAAAAAAAAGTCTAGCACCTAGCATGGTATCAAATAAACACTTAATAAATTGAATTGTTGAACATTGGATTTGAGTACCATAGAGCAAAAGCTCGAAGTGACTACCTATCTGGTTAGTCCCTCATTTTGCACATGAGGAAACAGAGGTCTAGAGAAACTGAATGTTTTGTCCAAGGGTACACAGGCAGTATCAGAGATGGGATTTGAACTCTGACTTCAGAGCCAGTGAATGAATGCTCTTTCCTGTTGAATTGAGTTGAATGCATATTCTGTGCATCAAAAGGCATCTTTGCCAATGTAATGATTTTGGAAAATTATTTGCAAAGCTGTGTTAATATGTGAAAAGCCTCCCTGGAGGGCAGAATGAAAATAGAATGTTTTATCATTATATTTATCATTACCACATTGGAATGGAGAAGTTTACTAATCTCAGTCGAATCCAGTTATCTCAAATCTATAAATAAGCCTTGGGCACTGGGCAATGAGATTTTATAGCATTCCTCGTTACCAGCAGATACAATAGACCTAAACCTGGTTTTCTGTAAAGTATAATACTTTATAAAAAGGGGAGTAGTGGGTGAAGGCATATCAAAGGTAGTACTTTTCTCTCATAAATTTCAAGGGTTATACTCAATATCCACATTCTTCTTCATTATCCAATTATAGGATCAAAGAGAAAAGTGTTTGGCCTACTCCTGGGGCTTAAAAGTCGTGAGATAAAAACTAAGCATATTTCTAACAACCTGGGTTATACACTGGGCTTCCTGTCAGAGAATTAGGCTCTGCTTTCTAGTGCTGCCTTTAACTAGTCTCCAGATGAAAGATATCAGGTTAGAAAACAAATCATTAGAGTGAAAAATATTTCACCTACCTCATTGTAAAGTCCAAATTTAGGTTTGTGTCAGAGATACCTTTTACTTTAGATTATTACAAACTGTCCTGTAAAATCTCTTGATTTGAATCCTAATGAGTTTTAAAGATCCCAGATATTCAAAGAAGGAGAGCCACAAAAATCAGAAGTGTCAATGAGTTTTTGGGAAGTTTTTTGGGAATCTTGGCACCTCCATTAATTTTAACATGGTGATCCTGAAAATTTCCTTAGGTAGGAAATGGCTTGTACTTGAAATGAATATCCTTGTTTTGGTGGCACTGGTAGAAAATGGCAAACATGGCATCCTGAAAGCTATGGAAGTATAGAGCATTCCCACTGGTGGAATGATTTTCCTTAGTGGAAATAAATCTGATGGCATCTGCCAGAACTGGGACATAAAAGATAACCTCTAGCAGCTGCAGCAGTTTGTTTCTGTGGGAAAATGTGGGCTTTTTTCTCCCCAGGGGTTAATATTGTGCTACAGTTGACATTGCCAGAGTTCTGTTTCCGAAGGGTTACACTGGTAAAGAAGAGAAATGCCTTGTGGTTTACGACAAGATCACAGCTGAAGATTCTGTACACACCATGATTTGTATAGGCCATTTGTGCATAAGCCATAAAAGTGCACTTTTTTAAACCAGGAACATTTGTGAATATATAACAGCACCAAAGACATATGGCCAATAAATAATTCACTGTTATCCATCTTCTTTGCAGATTCCTTATACACGTACCATGTTTTAATGTCTAGTTTGCTCGGAAATGATATTCTTTACGATGCTTCTGATATAAAAATGTTTACTGACTGGCAGCAGAATGGGGAAGCTCTGAGATCAGGCTGCTAAAAAAGGCCGGCTTTGCTCAGATCTCTATCTTATCAGACAGTTCTTCTAAACCAGGGGTGGGAACCTGCGTCCTCAAGGCCAACGTGGCCCCCTAGGTCCTCAAGTGCAGCCCTTGGACTGAATCCAAATCAAAGGGCCACACTTGAGGACCTAGGGAGCCATGTGTGGCCTCAAGGACTCAGGTTCCCCACCCCTGTTCTAACCCATTCCAGTCAGCACCTTGCTGGAAGAAAGCATTCATTCTTCCAACAGGAGCTCACTAAGGGGCTGACCTGGGTGTTGCATCTATGTGGTTGTGCTAACTCATTCTCCTTTTTTTGTCTTTTCAGTTCTATATCTATTTATAGTCCCAAGGACAACCCAAACGCTTTTGATGCTGCTGCGCTCTTCCAATCTGTTGGGAACTTTCTCGGAATCTTTGCCGGATCGTTTGCAATGGGGTCTGCCTATGCTGTCGTCACAGCTCTGATATCCTTTGTGGTTGCCTATTTGGCTTTCTTTTTATTTTGTTTTAACTTATTAAAAAAAAAAAAAGCTCCTAATCCATCGTATGTCAACAAAGATGGCCAATGGGTCATGACTGTGTACTCTAAGAACCAAATGCAATACTGTGTGGTTGGTTGTGGATTTAATAATAATAACTGGCATTTATAGAAAGCATTGAGGTTTACAAAGCACTTTACAAATATCCAATTTGATCCTTACAACAACCTGGGGAGGTAGGTGCTATTATTATTCCCATTTTACAGATGAAGAAACTGAGGCATGACAAGGTTAGTGGACTTGCCCAGGGTCACACAGTGAGTAGATGTCTGAGGAAGGAATTGAGCTCAGGTCTTCCTAACTCTCAATCTAGCCCTCTATCCACCGTACCAGCAATTCTTCCCAATCAAAGATGAAACCAAACATTTTTGCAACAATTTGATCCCAGAAAAACTCCCTGGATAGCCTAAAGCATCCTCTCTGAGGATAATAAGATCATAGACTTCAGTAGGGGTGATCTGGGAGGCTATAGAGTCCCCACACTCACATTTTATAAAAGAGAAAACAGTACAGTGTAGTTGAAATTGAGCTAAACTTCAATTCATAGGATATAAGTTCAAATCCTGGTTTTACTACTTACTTACTTAACCTCTCTGTGCCTCAGTTTCCTTATCTGCAAAATATGGATTTTGGACTAGATAACTTTTAAAATCCTTTCAGCTCTGTATCTGTGATCCTATGACTTGCTCAAGGTCATAGAGGGGAGTATGCTTCACAGTTGGGATTGAATCTAGATCCTCTGACTTCAGGGGTAGCTAGGTGGCACCACAGAGTACAGAGTGCCAGGCCTGGAGTCAGGAAGGCCTGAGTTCAAATCTGGCCTCAGACACATACTAACTGTGTGACCCTGGGCAAGTTACTTTACCCTGTTTGCCTCAGTTTCCTCATCTGTAAAATAAGGTGGAAAAGGAAATGACAAACCACTCCAGTATCTTTGCCAAGAAAACCCCAAATGAGGTCACAAAGAATTGGATATGACTAAATAACAAAAAAAAAAAAAAAAAAATCTGACTCCAGACCCAGTCATCTTTCTCCTGTACCATGTTGTCTCTGTAGAGGGAACCAAGAAAGTTGTTTTTGTTACCAGTTTCAATAACAGGTTGGGTACCAGAAATCAAAGAGTTCAAAGGTTTACTAGGAAGCAAGCATGAATCAGGAAACAATCAATACTCTACTAACCTTTTATATTAATTGAGCTCCTTATCACCTTATTAAGATTATGTGAACTGGTCACTGGAGTTCAGGGTAGTCTCCGATCAGAAGACCCCCATGTGTATATGTGCCATATACTACATGTCAATGTCTCTACTTAGTCTATGGACTATGGAGTGGAATCTAGTGCTACATGTTGAAGCAAATTCAATTGAATTAAGTATTTTTTTTAAAATGTGCTATTATCAGCAGTGTATTAGGTGTATGAAGTAATTACAAGAAGTAGTAATCTGCCCTCAAGGGGAGTGAACTCTTGAAAAATGAGAGAAGACAGACATTCAAAAAGTAATTAGCAAATGAAGTGGCACAGAAAATGATTAAGTGAGAAATAAGTATCACACAAAATAAATGTTAGAAGACTAAAAAGAAAAGAACAATGGAGTAGTCAGAGAAAATTTCCCAAGTGAGATGGGCTTTTAGCTAGTTTCTGAAGGATGGGGAGGATTTTGAAACCAGGAATTCAGGGGCAAAAGGATGGGGGTGGATAGAAGGAAAGTGAAATGAAAGTAGAATGAACTATGCACATTCTGGTGATGGTGAAGGTGCTACCCTGATTGGAGTGAAGGATTGGCAAGCAGGAAGAGAGAAGGTTATAGAGATAGAGTGGGCTGAAATGGCCAGGGCCCTCTGAATGCCAGGCAGAGGCCTCTCACTTTTATTCAATAAGCAATGGAGAGCCATTTGAGCTTTTGATCTAGGGAGCAGGTAGTGAGAACAGGCTTTTAGTAAGTTGATTTCATGATAGATGGATTAGAGGAAGAGTTGTTGTTAACCTGGGGCCCGTGGATATCAGGGAGGGTCCATGAAATTAGAATTTTTAATATTTTGATAACAGTTTAATATAATTGTGTTCCTTTGCAACCCTATGTATTTTATCTTATGCATTTAAAAACCTTATTCTGAGGAATTCATAGGCTTTGCCTGCCCACTAAAGGGATTCATGCCATCCTGGTTGTGAGGAAAGACTGGAAGTGGAAACTAATTAGGTTATTGCAGTAATCCAGGACGAATGGGATAAAAGTCTAGTGACAGGATGAATGAAAAAGTCAGAATGGAAAAGAGAGCTTTTTTGAAGAAATTCACTTTGATGGTAGACTGTAGGTAAATGAAGGAGAGATAAGAATCAAACAACACAGAAGTATTTTGAACCAAGGCAAAAAGAATGAATTTTGGTTAACATGAATAGAATAGAAAAAACAGAGGGGAAAATAGGTTTGAAGACAAGGTTTTGAGTTCAATTTTGAGTTTATTGACCGTGCTACAGAAAATGAATATAGAAAGTAACAGAGATAGAAAATGGAAAGAGATGATTCCTGGAATTCAGTTCTAGAGGGAAAAATTTTAGGAATTCATTCACAAAGATATAAAAAGGGAAGATGTGAGACTGGGCCACTTCATTAAAGGAGGTGGAGGGAGACCCAAGGGGAGTGTATAAGAATAGCTTATATTGATTGAATTACACCAATACTGTTACTTCATTGGTATAGGGTACTCCCTGTGTGGAAACACCTCTCTCAGTACAGATGGCATTTAATTGTATCCAAGTCTTCATGACTCCATTTGGAGTTTTCTTGGCAAAGATACTGGAGTGGTTATTCATTTCCTTCACCAACTCATTTTACTGCTGAGTAAACTGAGGTAAACAAGGTCAAGTGACTTAGCCAAAGTCACACAGCTACTAAGTGTCTGAAGTTAGATTTGAACTCACAAAGATGAGTCTACCTGATGCCAGGTCTGGTTCTCTATCCACTGTGCCACCTAGCTGCCCAGGGAGGGGTTAGAAGGGGAGACCAGGCTATTATAATTTCTTTTTTTAATCAATCATCTTTATTGATAAAGTTATACAGTACACATTCCAAATACACATTTCAAGCTTCTGGATTACAAAAATAATGCATATGTGATGAAAACTTATTACACAAAATGACGCTCTGCAAAACCCTATAATTAAATCTCAAAAAACACAATATATCTATGATGGTCAAGAGGAGATAAATTAAATCACAATTTTATTTACAAAAATACCCATCAAGCATTTTTTTTAATAATAGCTGCCTCAAGATCACCATGTACTAAATCTTAACAGTGTAGCTCATTTTATTTTCTTAAGCTAAATGGGAAAAAATCAAAATTATTTGGAGAAACCTGCCACCAAGTCAAGTACTACTTCTTAATCAAAATAAGATAGAAGATAGTTACCAAACAATTTAAGGAAAAAAATTTCTATTTTTTATTGGAAATCTTCACTAAGGCCTCTGGAATAAAGTTTTATTTTATTTTAAATAAAAAACACCCAATGTTTGGGAAGGTAAATTTGAGTAAACAGTTGTTGCTTTTACTCTTAACAATACGTGAGTCTTCTCACACTAACAAATTCTGCTATAAGAGTATTATTTCAACAGAGAATCTAAATGGAATTTGCACAGGCTATTATAATTTCTTGGAAGCCAAGAGAAAAAAGGTTTTCCTGAAGGAGGAAAGAGGGTGATACCATCAAATTCATTGAGTTCAAGGAGAATGTGGACAGAGAAGAAGCAATTGGATTTGATAAGGTCATTGGTGACTTTCAAATTTAACAAACATTTATGAAGCAACTACTCTATCCAAGGGACTGTGCTAAGGCCTGGAGAGACAGGCAGCATGGGACAGCAGAAAACCTCTGCATTTAAAGTCAGGATGCCAGGGTCAAAGCCTGCCTCTGCCAATTCCCTGTGTGACCTCGGACAAATCACTTCACCTATGTGAGACTCATTTTTGTCATCTATGAAATGACTTTTAAGATCCCTTCCAGCTCCGGTGATCCTAAGGGCAAGAATCAGGGTCAAAGACCAGGAAGGTTTAAAGTGTTTTCTAGTCCCACTGTGGCCTCAACCCAGGCCCTTGGGTCTGGGCCAAAGCTGGGCCAACCTCTGGAGAAGGTCAAAATGGCAGGGCGCCCTTCTGCCTCATGTGCGTCTGCTGATATTCTAAGCAGACTCTGTTCATGCCAGCCAGAATTCTTCTTTTGTAGCATACAAGATGAAGGAGACTGTCTGCCAAGCTCATTCGGGGGCCTCAAAGTCTTTTATCAGCACAAATGCTCACACACACACACACACACACAATACTTGCTTACAAAGGAGTAAAGATGGCTAATTCATGGTCAGCATAACTTCTAAATTTTGTCTTAGCCATAAACTGAAGATAACCCAAATCTTTTCCTTTCCACAAAGAAGTTTGTTTTTTGTTTGTTTGTTTGTTTTGTTTTGTTTTTGCCACTAATTCTCAGCTTTCCGTAAAGGTGCTTTCTAAAACTGTTGTGAAGAAACCCTATCATGTAATTTCCTCATTACAGTGGATAGAGCGCTGAGCCTAGAGCCAGGAGGACTCATCTTCCAGAGTTCAAATGTGTCCTCAGACCCTTACTAGCTGTGTGACTCTGGGCAAGTCACTTTACCCTGTTTGCCTCAGTTTCCTCATCTGTAGAGTGAGCTAGAGAAGGAAATGGCAGACCACTCTAGTATCTTTGCCAAGAAAACCCCGAATGGGGTCATGAAGAGTTGGACACAACTGAAAACAACTGAAACAACTAAACAGCAGTGCTGAAATTTCCTTAAATCATAATGATAACTTCCCTACAGAGATGAAATCATGGACCCATTAAAAAACTGTTCCTCACATTTATATTGCATTTTACAGAGAACAAAGTGTTTTCCTCACCATGCTCTATGAGACTAGTACTAAAAATGTGATTTCCATTTTGGAGTCAAGGGATATTTAGCGGCTCAGAGAGATTTAGTGATTGCCCAGAGTCACAAAGCCAACACACCTGAGGTGGAACTTAAACCAGATCTGATCCTCACCACCTTTATGACCTTGGAGGTCACTTAATTGCTCTTGGCCTCAGTTTCCTCATCTATAAAAGGAGGAGGTTAGGCTAGATGATGCCTAAGGCCCCTGTGTCTCCGTCACATATGTATTAAGGACCTGCTTCCTACGTACCAGACATTGTGCTAGAGACAGAAATGCAAAGGCAACATGATACCAGTCCTCAAAGAGCTTGCAACCCACTAGGATCATGTGACATATTTCTAGAGTAGTGAATACAAACCATGAGCCCCACCCTGTCAGAGGTAGAGTGACCAGACGAGGGCAGGGGTGAGCTAGCAAATCAGGAAGGCACTCTTGAACAAAGTGGCACTGGAATCTTCACAGTATCCGGGGATTCTACGAGGCAGACACGGAGAGATACAACCCAAATATCTGGATAACTGCATTCCAGTAGAATCGCTTTCTTTGTAATCCTGTGTATTTTATTTTGTGCATTGAGAGACATTATTCTGAACAAACGTGACTCTGAAGAAGAGCTATGAGAAATATGAGGCCAACCTCATTCCTTTAGAGGTGGGATCTCTGGGTGTGGAACATTGCACATATCACCCAACTTTTTCAGTGTATTCATTAGCTTTGCTGATTTTTAAAATTCTTTTTTTCTTAAAACAGTATTATTTGTTATATGGGATGACTCTCAGGGAGAGGGAGGGATAGGGAAATTTCAGTGATGTAAAAAAAACAAAAGAAGAATAATTTTTTAAAAGAGTTAAAAAAAAAAAGACATTATTCTAGAAGGGGTCCACAGTCTTCACCAGACTACCCAAAGAATCCAGGACACACAAAAAAGTCAAAGAGATTTAGTGATTGCCCACAGTCACAAAGCCAACACACCGAGATGGAACTTGAAACCACACAGTATAAGTACAGTGGAAGAGTCACAAAACATGTCTTTAAGGCCTGGATCTGATACTCACTGCCTTTATGACCTTGGACAAGTCGCGGAGGTCATTTAATCGTTCTCCACCTCATGTAAAGTCTCCTTACTCTCAATCTGGTCTACTTTTTCAATATTAAAAATCATGATGATAATAATAACCACCATTTACATAATGCCTCAAAGTTTACAAAATGCTTTACTATATAATTTTATTTGATCTTCACAATAGCCCTGTAAGGTAGGTGCTAATTTTAACCCCATTTTAGAGATAAGGAAACTGAGGTAGAGAGAGGTTAAGGGACTTGGCCACACTTACATGACCAGTGGAATTTTTACTTACGTCTCCCTGACTCTAGCACTCTCGTATCTAAACAAATACAACAGGTAGCCTTCCACTGCACTGCTATCTCACCGTGGAATAGCTGTAATGCAAGCCTTCAGAGGTATCATATGCTCTTAGTCATAGCATCACTTCCCATTCATTGGCAGGTTCTGGTCATGTACTCTCTATCTCATTGACAATCTAGAGACTAGAAATTAAATGTCACCCTGGCCAAAAAAATTAAAATGTCGATGACTCCCAGACAAGAGGCACCTTGTCTGAATTGTAGGGGGAAACAACAAAAACAGAACATCTTCCCCATCCTAGTTATTCCAAGAAGGCATTGACAACTTCCCTATTACTGAGTATTATAGTTTCTCCAGACCTCATTTCCCTCCTAAAGAAAAAAGAATCTATTAAAGATCTAACCCTAGGCTGTGCATGATTCTCTCTAGAGCAATGGTACTTCTCAAGCATTGATGGAAGAGTAACCTCACCATCTTCATTTGCCCCTCCTGAGCTCCCTTTTCCCCTGGCCATTTCTCCTGATGAAAATCAGCTCAGAGATAATTTTCAATTTGGGGTTATATTCTTGCCCATGGCTAAACTATTCTTCCCCTTTTTTGTAAGAGAATTTTTTTCTCTAGAACATTTATTCACATTTATTCTCATCAAAGGCTTGCAGGGGGCCTGCTTTTTACAATTCTTTAAGATCCCCAAGTGAGGTACAGTGCACACCAAGAATTCCAAAGCATTTCTGTGTCAATTCCCATCAACAAGCGTTTATTAAGTACACAATGTGTTCCAGGCACTATGCTAGGCACTGATGATACAAAAAAAAAAAATTTAAGTAGTTACCGCACTCGAGAAACATTCATTCTAAAGATGTATAGATCAATAATAGCCGGTTACAATTAAACTTGGTTTAAGCGTAGGGGCAACATAATGGCCCTTACGGTCCATTTTTGCTTATAAAAGTTTATTTTAGGCTAAAAGTTATGAGCTCAGTCACAACTGGTCTGGGCTTCCAGTTAGGAAAATTCTTAATGTCTAGACAGAGTTTGGATTCTCTGCATAACTTAATGTTTATATTTCTCTCTAGTTAACCCAGGCTGGTCTCTTTGTGGTTGAAGCAAAATTCAGTTTACTAGAAACTTTTGAGATTCCAAATAGCCCCATATATTATGGCATCTATGAATAGAAAGGCATCAGAAGAAAGAGCCAAACATTCCTAGGGACTTCCCTCAGCCCAGTTCTTCTGTTCCAAGATGCCTCTAGAGCCAATGGCCTTCCTTGACATTTTCTTTCTCTTCCACAAGACTGAGATGCCATGCTTGCTACAATTTTTTAAACAAATGTGATTCTAACTAGTCTGATCATTTATAAATGTGTCCTGAGGGTTGGCCAAATTTTCTTGGCCTATCCAGACATGGTTCTTATGCAATATCACTACAGTTACAAGGAATTTTTCACTTGTAGTTTAAGGCCTACAAATTGATTACCTGGATATCACATCACTTAGTGTATATAGAGAAGGGTTGAAGAAATAGTCCCACTCTTATATTGATGGGGGCAGTGAAGTAACAACTAGCAGAGGGGTCCAGAAATTCCTCATATAGAAAATAGTGTTTGAGCTGATGTTTGAAGAAATCTAGGGCTTCAAAGAAACAAAGGTCAGGAGGAAGTGCATTCCAGGCATCAGAGGCAGCCTGGGCAAAGCCACAAAGATGGGAGATGTTATACCATATGTGAGAAACAGCGAGTAGATTGAAGCATATGGGAAACAGAGTGATGTATAATACAGCTAGGTCTGATTAGTGAGGATAATGAATATGTGAAGTGGATGCATGTATTCAAATTCTCATTATTTGAAATTATGATTATGTAAAATATGGTAATTGGTTCAAGACTAGTAGAAATATGCAGTACAAATTCAAATAATGTAATGTATTGCATGGGATTCATTATCCACAATAATTGGGACCTAGTTTTATGTCTAGAAAGGAAGATTATAGTCAAGCTATGAAAGACTCTAAGTGCCGGAAGTGTTCATATTTGATTTAATAAGGAATCACTGGAATTCACTTAGACTTCCTAGGGAGAGAAGGTATATGAATAAAATGACTGAGAAACACTTTGCTTCTTCTCTTCATCCAACCTGCCAGTAGGCATTGACAATTGATTTTGAGCCAAAAAGGACCTTAGGTATCACGTGATCAAACTGCCTTATTTTAGAGATAGGGAAACCGAGGCCAACCAAAGAGAAGTGACATGCCCCAAGGTAGCAAATTAAAGAGCTGAGAATCGAACTCAGATCCTCTGCTTTGGTTTCTGAAGCTCTTATCACTCCAATATGGTGTCTATCTGTAGTCCTGGGTCAGATGCATCTGTAAGGTCAATTAGTTGTCATTTTCCTTAACAAATCTTTATCACTTGACCAAATTCACAAAGCTGTGTGAGTTCCCCATGCTAGAGACGGGTCTGTTTTTCCTCCTGTCGTGGAGTGCCTTCTTGTCTGCAGAAGCTGCAGGTCTGACAGGTCAGTACTTCATTTGGCAGAGCCAGGGGGGTGGGGGGACAGAAATTTGTGTGTGTCTTTTCCTTGATAGAGCTGAAGGTGAAATGGAGTTTTCCTTAAAGGAGTCTAAGCTGGCATAGACCTCTACTGTGTGCCCTGGAAAACAAAAACAACCAAAAAAAATCATAATTCATCTGTTCTCTGTAAGACAGCTTAATGGAAAGTCTCCAGAATGCTTTTTCTCCCACTTTCATTACTGGTCAGTGGAGATGTTGAAATCTAAAAATGATCAATTTATAGAGGTGATAGATGACTTTACAAATGAAAGTCTCCACTCAGAGTTTTCATGATAAACATACCAGTTTTTCTTCTTCCATCAACTTAGTAGAGAAGGACACTGGCTTTCCTTTAACTGTCAAAAAGCAATGACTAGTGTCATCATCATTTTTTTTCCTTTTTCTTTATTATAATTTTTGAAATGGCAACCAAGCAGCATGGATCAATTTAACTCTATTATGATTCTACCAACTTTTATTAAATGTCCAATGTGTGAAATGCATTGTGCTAGGTGCCGTACTGTTAGCCACATTTAATTACACAGATATCTGACGTGCAATAGTTAAGAAAGGAGGCAGCTAGATGGCTCAATGGGTAGAGTGTTGGGTCTGCAATCAGAAAGACATTAGGTCAAATCCAGCCTCAGACATTTACTAGCTGTGTGACCCTGAGCAAGTCATTTAATCTTTGTTTGACTTAATCTCCTGGAAAACAAAATGGCCATTTGTCAAGAAAATCCCATAGACACCATAGCCCGTGGGGTCCCAAAGAGATGGACACAACTGAATGACTGAACAACAATAATTAAAAATGACTAGAGCAGTTGCATGTCTACATTACAGGTCTGCACACTGGCTCAAACCTTGTATTTTTAATTCGTTGGTTTTGATGTTCTTCAGCATTAAATAATGGACTGTTAGCTCCAGGCTGCATTGACAGCTCCTTGAAGGCAGGGATGCTGTCATATTTATCTTTCGACTCCCCCCAGCCCTGAACATAGTGCATTGCAAATAACAGTCATATATTAAATATTTGTTGAATGAATTCCTTTGAGAACCATCCAATTTCATTAAATGACTTGGGAGGCCAGATTATCTCTGATACTGATCATTTGTACATGAACAGCTTCAGTCATTGACTGCTTTTCCACACTGGAGAAGAGTTCACTGTGGCCTGAGGCAAAATGGTAACCTTGGAGAAGTTTCTCTTGGGTACTTTCTCACCTCCCTTTCAAGGAACCTGCAGTTCTGTCCTGCTCCCCACCTTCCCTTTGGCATCTGTCTTGAGTTTTCTTTTCTTTGTAGTGTCTTGCTTTCAGTTAGTACTTACAACCCCACCCAAGGGCTATATGAAAGAATTTCTATATGAAAGAGTTAATGGCATCCCAGAATCCCCAAGTCTCTGAGTTGGAAGGAAACTTTAGCAGCTGTATCAACCAACCTCAATGTGAACAAGAATTCTTGTGGGGTATGTAAAAGTGTGTATCCAGTGACCTGAAAGATCCTGTGAAGCATTTCCCCAAGGTCTTAGTTCAGTTGTAAGCTTCAATAGCTTACAACTGCACTAAGAATTTTGGGACACCTTGAATTTTATGGTTGTACTACATAGATGCCAATACAGTCTATATTTCAAGCTTAATCCTCATTTTTTTATTTTCTTTGTTTGTTTGTTTGTTTTACCATTCTGGTGATGGATCGCAACCTCTGCCATGTTCATGTCTACTTTTTTATTCCCCATATGAACATTGTCATCATCTGTCTTTTGGAAGAAGACAAGAATGGTTATGTTATCAAGACCACAGGGCTCATTTTAGATATAAGATAAATCAACGATGGACTTGGACCCATGGCCTTGTTTCCCCTTATAACATATCAACAGGGAAAACACTGATTTTTGAAAAGCTCTAAAAACACTAGTTTGCTTTCTGACACACAGTACCCAGTGGGCTATGCCTTTCTTGAGAGCAGTGTTGCCCTATATAAGCTTCCAGCTCAGGAAAGCTTCAAGTGCTCAATGCCAGCCCTGTTGATTAGGAAAAAGAAAATCTGTAGCTCTCAACATCCTCCTCACTATTAGTAAAAGTATCTCAGTATGTTGTTCTCAGAAAGGGGGCTTTGCCACAATGCTGAAATAATTCTTAAGATCAATGAAAAAGGAAGTTCTCAAAGGGTTCATGAGAGAAATCTCAGTATTGTTCCATGTTCTGAAAAATCAAAAATTCACTTACAAACTGATTGTACCTCTCTGTGTGAATATTGTTAAAGAAACAAAGTAGGCCTTCTGGTTAAAGTAAAAGAAAGACAGGCAGTTAGCTAATTGGCATGGACTCTTCCAATGGTCAGTCTTAGCAGTCAGCATTTAGTGTGGTGGAAAGAGAAATTAATATTTGATACAATATGAAATGAGATAGGGAAATAACTATAGTCAAAGCCTAAGGCCAGGGTTCTTTACCTTTTATTGTGGATCAGGGACCCTTCTAGCAGTCTGGGGAAGCCTATAGACCTCTTCTCAGAATCATGTTTTTAAATACATAAATTTAAATACATAGGACTACAAGGGAAACCAGTTATATTGAAATACAGTTAATATTTTTATTTTCTCAATCAAATATTTTATCAAAATATTTTTTAAAAAACAAGTTCATTGACCCCGGGATAGGAACATATAATTATGAAGTAAGTAGGAATGTAAAGGATATATCCTTATGTCTAGAGAGAACCCCCATCTCTTTTATTCAGGCTTTCATGAAGTAAGCATCTTCAATTACTGCAGTCATAAATTAAGGATTCAAGTTCTTTTAAATATTCAATTTCACTGTAAAAGACTGTGTTATAAATTAAACTATAAAGAAAAAAAAGAGAAAAAATGCCTATCCCAAGTCTGTTACACTTAATAATAATAATAGCAAATACCTTAGCATTTATACAGGGCTTTAAGGTTTGCAAGGTGCATTACAAATATTATTTCATCTGATCCTCACAACAATCCTGGGAGGTAGGTGTTATTATTATCCCCATTTCATAGCTAAAACTGAAGGAGAGATGTTAAATGATTGGCACAGGGTCACACAGCTAGCAAGAGTCTGAGTCTAGTTTTGAACTTGGGACTTCTTGACTCCAAATCCAATATTCTATTCATAATGCCACCTAGGTTCTACTGCCAATTAGTGGACTGTTAACCAGGCACCCTTATTGTTGTTTGTCCATCTTGGGAAGAGGATCATGACATCAGGGAGGTGATGCCATGACATGCAAGTGAATTGGATTTAAGTGAAGGAGGGCTGTGCAAAGTCACCAGCCTCACTTTCACCTCCAGAGCCATCTGGGTCTGGTGGCCAGATAGCAGTCAGGACAATTGGAAACGGCCGAGGATGCAGTGGGAGACCTCGGTCTTTTTAAACTAAGGTCTTTAACAGGTCTCAGTTTGACTGAGGCAACCCCCATTCAGTGATTAAAGCTAGATAAAAAATGAGGCTGAGAATGGCATCATTAGATAGTCAAAAAAACAAACAAACAAACAAACAAAAAAACATCAACCTGGGCTCTGGGTTTCTGGCCAAAACAGAAACAATTGCCATTTACATTTACTCTGAGCCAATCAGGGCCCAAACAATAACCAAGTGGGGCTTGGCTTGGGCGCTATTGTCAGCCCATCAATGAGAGCCAGAGTGATTTGGGGTTAAGGCATGTTCCTTAAGAAAGAAATCTAGCCTGTAAACACCTGAAAGGTTAAGTGACTTGCCCATGGTGTCACACAGCTAAGGGTGGACTTGAATCCAAGTCTTCTAATTCCCAAACTATCCCAATATCCACCCTGTCTCACTACCTCTCTGGAGCACAGCATGTTATGTAGATGTCCACAGTTATCATCTTTCAAGATAATTTCTGGGGCCTCATACAGCTCTACGTTATGATCCCATGATCCAACAAAATTGCTAGTTAACCAGTGAGAGTAGCATGCCTGGGCAAGGAATATATTGTTAACAGGATACTCCTATTTTATAGTGGTACTCTGCTAGTCAACATACCTGACACTTTCATAGTTCCGTCTCCTGATAATAGGAAGGGCTGAAGGAGAGCTATCATAAAATCCAAGAGCCATGGAGGGATAAGGAGTCTTTTAGGACTATAGGAGTCTTTTAGGAATCATGATACGGTCAGGGAACCAGAGACATATTGCACAGGATAAGATAACATTATTTGTCATTCCAGAGCTGAGGTCACCAAAACTGGTGGGAAGATTAAACATTTTCAAATCTCTAAAACCCTGGTTGACAATCAATCATGACAGAGTTGTAGCATTTCTGTACATTTCTCCCTACAAAGCACAAACACAAAGGAGTATATATGCAAAAACTCTTCAGGTATAAAATCCCCAGTTAGCTGTGGTGGTGGGGGGGATTTTTGTAACAGGTTTTTCTGATGAAAGTCTCATTTCTAAGATGTACAGGTAATAAATCAAAGTTTATAACAATAAGAGCTATTCTACAATTGATAAATGGTCAAAGAATATGAACAGGCAGTTTTCAAAGAAAGAAATCCAAACAATCAACAAACATGAAAAAATGCTCCAAATCATTAATACTTTAAGAAAGAAAATGAAAGCTGCTCTGAGATTTCTATTCACACCCATCAAATTGGCAAAGACAATTTAAAAAACTGACAAATGTTTGGGGGACTGATGGAAAACAGGCACAGTAATGATCTAATGGTGAAGCTGTGAATTTATCCAGCCATTCTGGAAAGCAATTTGGAACTATAACCAAAAAGTCAATAAACTGTGAATATCCTTTGACCCAGAAATACTACTTCTAGGTTTCTATACTCAAAGCCATCAAAGAAATAGAAAAATGGATCCATATTTACACAAATATTTATAGCAGCCCTTTTCATTGTAACAAAGTACTGGAAACCAAGGGAGTGCCCATCAATTGGGATATGACTGAATAAATCATAGTATACAAA